CGACGCCCGACCGCTCGCTCGCCCGGTCCCCGTCCTCCACGGCTCCTGCCCAGCCGGCGCAGCCTCGCTTCCTCCGGACGGAGCCCGGGGACCCCCAGCTCGGCCGGATGCCCCCGCCAGCCCCCACCCCTTCCCGGCCGCCTCCCCCTCGTCACCCTCTCCCCTCCCCCCGCCCCCCAACCCCCCACCGGAATGGAAAATACCTCCCGGGGCGGAGTGGGGGGGGGGCGCGGGCGGGGCCACGCCTCTCTGAAGGGCAGCCTACCGTGACCAATGGCAGGCGGGGCTCTGGAGGGGCGGGATTCCCGGCGGCCAATCCAGAGGCGGGTAGGTGAAGGCCCGGGGAGGGAGGCTGGGAACGGGCGGCGAGGGGAGGCCGGCGAGTCAAGGAGGTCCGGCCGCGCGGGTGCGCGCCGTGCGCGGCTGCCATTTTGGAGTCGGGCAGCTGCGACAGCGGCCGGGTTCGGCCGAAAAAGGGAGGAGCCAGTCAGGTGGGAGAGAGGCTGTCACGTGGGCGCGGTGGGCGGGGCCGAGCCGGCTAGGGCTGGAGGGGAGGGGGCGAGGCCGGCGAGTCTCGGAGGCTGGGGGGGGGCGCGGGGGGAGGGTCACGTGGCCGCGGCCGGGGCTCGCGGTGGGCGCCAGGGTGGAAGGTCGACCCGGAGGTTCGCGGGTGGGAGGGAGCTTTTGTTCGTTTGGGCTCCGCCGGGGGAGACCGAGGAGGCAGATGCTGAATGGAGGTTCCGGAGTGAGTGCCGGGTAGGAAAAATGTGAATGAGTCTCCCCGGCGCCCCTGCAGCATGGAGCCATCCGAGTCACTGAATTCCAATATTCACGGGAACCGGGCACCTCATTGAAGTCAGCTCTTCCCAGGCAGGCTCTCAGCTGCCACGGAGATGACTCATACGCGCGGGGGAGGGGCCTTGTAGCTCCCTCCTCTTGCCGGTACCTTATGTGGATCGCCCCCGCTATGGGAAGGGCTGCAAGGACAGACGAGTGTATCTGGGAGATGGTGATGCCCGCGAGACTCCTCAGCCGGCCCTTTTAGAAACTCGGTCACCATTCATAAACTAACCGACCACTTAACTCCCAAACATACCTAGGATCGCTTTCCGGTGCGCTTCCCGTGGACCTCGTTGATTCAAACGCAGTCTGTTCTCCCTGCGAATCTACTGGAAGTGGTCCTTACGTTAGTGACAAACGCAAGGTCAGGTTCAAGGGTCCCTTTTTAGTCCTGTTGGTTTGAAACTGTCTCCCTATAGCCTAGGCTGCCTTGGAACTCACTGTTGCTCAAGCTGGCCACTCTTTAGTGGTGTTCGTACCAGCCTGCTCTATACTGGGATTAGTGACCACTTTTAGTCTTTCATGTCTTGCCGAGGAGACTGAAGACTACATCTTTCTTGAAGGCTTTTCTTAGATTCTTTCAACCCCCCCCCCACCTTTCTTCACATTGTACACCTCAGATAGTCCTTTTCAGTTATTTTTAATGTCTGTCTGTCCTTGATTGACTCCTTGAAAGCCCCAGGGCCTGACCCTCGGCCCTCTTCGCTGGAAGGCACACTGCCCACCAGTTGTTGTAACCATTCAGATAGAATCAACAGTTAAATGGATGGTCTTGGGGGGTCCAGATCTGCATACGTAAGGGGCTTTTAGACACCTGTCTATTGGAGTAATATACCCACATTGGAGCTCATACCTCCTGAAGTTCACAAAGCCTGCTCCTCTTTTCCTCGTATTGTTTTATAGTACCACATTAACTCCTCCCCTGAGCTCCTGTTCCAGCCTCCCTCTATCTGCTATAGTCTGGATCTGCAATGTTCTCCACCAGCCTATGAGTTATTCTTGGTCCCTGGCTTACAAAGATGATGGAAATCTTTAAAACACAGAGAGGCTAGTGGGAAGCTTTAGGTCATTGGGAGGTGTGCCCTCAGTGCATTTTGAGACACCCCCCCCATCTCTGTTTCACTTCCTGTCCATGATGTGAGGAGCTTTATTTTGCAGTGCATCCCCCCTCATTGTCAAGTTTAGCTTCAGCTGTCAGCCTGACACGCAGCAGAGTTACCTGAGGGGGATCTCAAATGGAGGACTGCCTTGGTCGGATTGGCTCATGGCCATTTTCTTGATTGATCATGACGTAGGAAGGCGGTGAATTCCCTGGGCGGTGAGCCTAGTCTATAAGAAAGGCAGCTCACTGAATGTGAGCCTCAGAGCAAGCCAGTAAGCAGCTTTCCTTTGCCGTTCCTGCTTCGATTCCTCCTCAGATCCCTGCCCCAGCTTCCCTTGACGATGAGCTGTAAGAACCAATAAACCCTTTCCTCCCTGAGCTGCTTCGGGTCATGCTGTTTTTCACAGCAGCAGCAACAACAAAAGGAGAACATGCCCAGAGGTGCTCGCCCTTCACCCCACAAAAGGTCTGTAAAGAATAAGCCTACCAGATCAGGACTGGAACTTCCAAACTGAACCAGCCAGAATGCACTTGTTCCCTTCAGGAGTTGTGCTGTGGGATGTTCTGTATGGCAAATGCGTTGCTCTGATTTGTTAATAAATAAAACACTGATTGGCCAGTAGCCAAGCAGGAAGTATAGACTGGACAAGGAGAGAGGAGAATTCTGGGAAGAGAGACGCTACCAGCCACCGTCATGACAAGTGAGACGTAAGGTACCGGTAAGCCACGAGCCATGTGGCAACTTATAGATGAATAGAAATGGGTTGATTTAAGATAGAAGAACTAGATAACAAGAGGTCTGCTGCGGCCATACAGTTTGTAAGCAATATAAGTCTCTGTGTGTTTACTCGGTTGGGTCTGAGCGGCTGCAGGACTGGCAGGTGAGAGAGATTTGTCCTGACCGTGGGCCAGGCAGGACTGGAGAAAACTCCAGCTACAGAGTTGATGCTGTAGTGACACACAGCTTCCCGACTCACGGATGCTTCTCATGGTGTTACTTTGACTGTTCACTAAATGCCCTCTCTCCAGTCACTTCCTCGCTTGCGCCATTTAATAGTTAGGCCAGTATTTAGTGAGCATTTTAGTATTAGCTCAAGATTTAGTGGTCAACAAGACTGACAAGCTTGCTGAATGAGGCAAGGCAAACAGTATAGAGTAAATTGATGATAACTCGGGAAGCCGGGGGAGATACGCATTACAAAAACTCCAAGAAGGGAGGCCTAGCAGAACCTCCTGGGGTTGCTGACCAGCTCTTCAGGGCAGTTGCCCGGCCTGTCTCTTGCTTCCCTTCTTCTCTTCAGAGGGGACTGCCGTGGTCCTTTCACCTGGTCTTGCTTTCATTCATCTTTCATTTTCATTCATGAGAGTTTGTCCTATTTTCTATTACTGCTGCCTAAATGAAAGTCCTCCGCATAGACCAGTCAGATGGGGCACTTGAGGGTTTTTGTTTGTTTGTTTTGGAGGCTGGTGGTTTTGTTTTTGTTGTTGTAGTTTGTTGTTTTTGTTTTTTTTTTTTTTTGAAATGGGGTCTTACTCCGTAGCCCTGAAACTCATGGTCATCCTCTCATGTCACCCCGAGTGCTGAGATTACAGGTGTGTCCAGCAGGAATAATGTTATACGCCTTTGTGCCTTGGCTCAGAATAGGTGCTCACAAGAAGAGTGTTAAGTGATCTGATGAGTCCCCTGATGCTTGAATCAGGCCACCACAGAAGCAACCCTATCCCAGATCAGAAGGCAAAGTCAGCGACCTCACCTAATTGAGGGTGGTAGAAGTGATGAGCTAAGAGACAGGCTTATGAATGGTATCACCTGGTTTGGTACCTTCTGGGCCTGGGACTCTATGATGTGGTACCCCACATGGGACAGCATTTGCTTCATAAGTACTGCTTTCCTTGGCAGTGCTAAGTACATGTGGAGGATTTTAAAGTACTCTTTGTTTCACATGATGAGCCTCCAACCCAAAGAACTCTGGGTGAGTTGCCAGGACAGGGCCTGCAGGAGGCTGCAGTTACCACTTCACTTGGTATTTCCAGGCCCTTGGGTATTGCACCCCAACAGGGAACAAGCTGTTGCCAGTTCCGTCATAGTCTTTGTAATTAAATCCAAGTCTGGCAGAGGGCAGTGCATAATTATGAAGTATTATTATGGTTTTTATCATTATTAGGCACCCAGCTGCCCATCCCAGGAAACCACAGTAGTAAAACACTGAGAACCAAGCTCCTCTCCCAGCTGGCATGAATAAATACCAGGTGTATTGGCACCGAGTTTTGCAGCTCCACATCCATCAAGATGAGACCTTCTGTCCCCTCCTTTTGGCAAGATACAATTTCAAACGAATGGGAAAAGGAAATGCAAAGACCTTTGCCACCACCTCTGAATCAAACTCATTTTTTTCCCATCTCCTGAGAACAGTTTCTCCTCATCTATATATTTATTGCATAAATCTTTTCCAACTTCATCCTTGACCTGCACACTTCCTAAACATCATTCTACAATGTCTCCGGAATTTGTGAGGGTGCTTGCAACGAACACGAAGAAGGAATGCTCAGAAGGCATGGCCTCGTGTTTATTGAGCTCCTACTCAGTGCTGGGCTTGGCATTTCCACTTAGGTTAGCTGACTCCATCTACAGCACCCTCCAAGGTAGGTTTCGTTACCCCTACTTTCTTCAAGGTCACAAAGACTTAGTAAATGACAGAACCGAGATCCCCAAACAAACACAAGAAGTTGGTGATTATCCAAAGTGACTTGTCCATACTGGTAGCTGAATGGAAGTATCGTATTTCACCTCTTTCTATCAACTTAAAAATGGTTTCCTGTACAAAGTGGGTTTTAAGTTGAGCACGGAAAGGACAGTTCGGAAGTGATGTTGAGGGAACGGTGCCAAATGAAGACACTGTATTGGCCATCAGCCTAAAATCAATCAATAAGAAAAGATTTTTGTGTTACTCAGAGATGAGTCATGTTCTGTTCTTCAAGTCCCTTCCCTGTCTCAGCTGCTCCAAAGTGGGAAAGTCAACGGGATGACACTGGGCTGGGAGAGTGTGAGCAGGGATGAGTAGGGATTGAATTCTGCCAGTGTCGAGTTCCCCACATGGCTAGTGAACCAGCACATCCAGCCGTGGCTTCGGAAGCAGCTAGAACTAGGGCAGACTACTGCACATTTTCGTGACTGGTATGTGCACAGCAGTTTCCTGGGTTGTTTTTCTCTAAGTCAATTGTTGAACAGTTTTTAAAGAATTTATTCAGTGCTCACTATATTTTGTAAGGAATTATACTTCTGCTATCTTTAGCGCTTTTTGTGGGGATTTAAAGTTCAATAAAATACACTCATTTTAAATATACTAGTTTGTTCTGTTTTGAAATACATACATTCCTTTGGAACCACCACCATTATCAAGAAATGGAGCATTTTCATCACCCTCCGAAAAGGCTCCCAGGCCTGTTTGCAGCCGGAATTTTAACTCAACATCATCTATACGTATAGGTTCTGGGGCTCAAACCCAGGGCCCTGCCCATACTAGGCATGTGCTGGGGATGCCCCTCGCCTCCTTCCCTCCAACTGTATTCAAATGGCTTCTAGCTTGCTTTCAAAATCTAGATTTCCATTTCCACACTGGCTTCATCTACCTTCCCGGATGTTACAAACAGGTCCTCAAAGCAAACCAAAAAAATGGCAAAAGCTTTAGCTTAAATACAACAAAACTCCCTCTCCTACTGCTGTTTCCCTTCCAGATTAGTTTGATTGTTGAGGTAATTGTCATCTTTCAGGTCATATTCTCCGTGTGTGTGTGTGTGTGTGTGTGTGTGTGTGTGTGTGTGTGTGTAGAATCTTTCTCCTCCCTGTCTTCCACCACCCAGAGTCAGTAGGAGAATCTCGCGTACACAGACGTTCTGACTAGCCCCTCCCCTTCCTACGGTCCTCACTGTTGTCTCATTTGCACAATCGCACAGAGCCCTTAACTTCTTTCTTCATGCTCCAATTCGTCCAGCAATCTGCCATTGTCGCTTCCTTTCGAAAACCCAGATCTGTCTATTTCAATCCCCTTTCCCAGGCTGCCCAACAGCCTGTAAAATAGCACTGAATATTTTTTGCTGTGTTGCCCCTTCTGGACTTTCCTGCTTCTCTCTCTATATATTTACATTTTTTTTTTCTGTTTGTCACTGCATTTTTACCCCGAATTATGCCTCCTTGACTTGAAAACTTTTTTACAGCCCCATTTAAAGGACCTTCCCTTGGTGAAGCCTTTGTGGACGGACCTCTGCCCCTCTAGGGGAGACGGTCCCCTCTAGCATGTGCTCTTTCCCAGAATGCTGCACCCACCTTTATGCTGCTGGTGAAAGAGAACAGGAAAGCTTCAGCAGAAAGCCTTGGTGGGAAATCTTGATGCTCATTGGCTGGGCTCTCCTGCAAGTTAGAAAACATCTCCCAACCTTGCTCCTTTCTCTTAGAGAATGGCCGTGAAAACAACTGTAGCTCGAAGCTGTCTCCTGATGGATTTTTTTTGTTTGTTTGTTTGTTTGTTTGTTTTTTGTTTTTCGAGACAGGGTTTCTCTTGTGTAGCTTTGCGCCTTTCCTGGAACTCACTTGGTAGCCCAGGCTGGCCTCGAACTCACAGAGATCCGCCTGCCTCTGCCTCCCGAGTGCTGGGATTAAAGGCGTGCGTCACCACCGCCCGGCCTCCTGATGGATTTTGAGCAGCGCACCAACATCTAGACGTTTTTCTGTCCTTTCCCCTAGCTGTTTCTGTGCCTGTCTGTTCTGTAGACTGACGTATGGCAGAATTTAGTTTTTAGAGGAGTGTTTTTCCATTTGTTACCTCAGTTAACTCTCTCCCCCAGTTTTCTGTACTGTTTCTTCACAAGCCAAGCATGATGGTCTCTGCCCTTTTTATAATTATTTATTGGTTTTATAATTAAGTAGTCACATAAAAAGTTCTCAGAACAAACACAATAAATATTTGTGATATTTGTTTTAGAAAGCTTTATTTACTCAACAGCTTTTTAAAGCCATTATCTGCCAGACCTGTTCTAGGCACTTGAACATACAAAGACGAACAAGAAAATCTGTAACATTTACATCAGAGGTGTGCTGGGGGGCCGGGGGGGGGTGGGCAACAAATACAAACCGTGAAAGATTCTAATCTGTGTAGTTAAAAGGTGCTACAAATAGCTCAGGACACTGATGAAACTGGAGTGGTCTGGATAAGCCTCCCTGAGGAAACAGCATTCCGTCAGAAGAAAGCACACAAAATCTAGGTGGGAGAACATTTCAATCCAAGGCAAAGACACTGATCCCCTCCACGGCAGGAGCAGAAACCTAAAGAGAACAAGGGAGAAGCCTGAGTGTTGGGATTACAGAGAAGCAGATGAGGCCAGATCCTGTGAGGCTTGGAGGGCCACAGTGAAGCGTTTACATCTCGCTCTAAATGTCACCGTAATCCTTGGAAGGATTTTGAGCAGGGATATGATATGATAAGACTTATTTGCTTGTTTGTTTTCTAGATCACTTTTAAGTGACTATAGGGAATATATTCTCAGGACAGTGGGGCAAAGGATCAGAAGGCAGACCAGTTGCTTTGGTCCAGGCTACAGGTGATGACAATCTGGATTAGGCTGGCAGTGATGGAGATGACATGGAAGAGAAGATTTCAAGATATTTTTCCAGGTAGAACTGAACAGTTTCACTGATGGATTTAGGCATGGCAAGGGGAAGCTGTCAGGTCTAAGTAATTTGGTGTGTGAAAATGAAGTCTATTGAGTACCAATTCTGTGGCAGGCTCTGAGATTATAAAACATGAATAAGACACAGCCCTTGCCCAAAAAAAAAAAAAAAAATCACCATGGGAAAGAAAACATTGTAGTCTAGTCACATCCATGGAGTGTTCAGGCATGAGTTGTACACAGATTTTTGTGATGCCATCAGGAAGGGTCCCTGGCACAGTCCAGTGAAGTGGCCAAGAATCCTGTCTTCTGGAGAAGATAGAGATCAAAGTCTCAGCGTTTACAATTATAGGCAGCAAGTCACATTTTAAGGAGAATGTTGCCTTCACTTATTTCTGCGTTTTCGCTTTTTTTGAAATTGCTTTCACTGTGTCGCCCGAGCTGCCTTGAACTCACAATCCTTCATCGGCCTCCTGAGTGTAGTGCTTACGAGTCAGTACATAATCATTGAAAACGGCATGGTCCACAAGGATATAAAACCCATCCAGGAAACTGGAGGTATTGGAAAAAACAGAATGTACAGCTATGGGGAAGGAGAACCAGTATGGTATAGATGTCTCCTGCAGCTGCCTGCTTGAGCCCCACCAACAATATACCTTGGATCATTGATTTGGGATTTTTTTTATTAATAGCGACGATAACTTTTATGAAATTACCTTATACCTCCTGAATGATTTCTCTTAAACTTTATTTTTTATTTCTTTTTAGTGTAGATTTATGATTGATCAACCAATATTCTCATGTGTCATGAATCAAAACAAAATAAAGAGGTATAGAGTGGTCTCGTTCCTAGCCATCCCTGTTTACTCAGTTCTCATTCACCATTATGAGTAAAGATAATGATTTAGGTTGGTCCTCTGTGTATTTTCCGTGTTTCTTCAAATACAAGCACTTCTTGTATATATTTTCTCTTCTCCTCCATGAAAAGAGACAGGTTGCCTTCCTTATCTACACACTGCTTTTCCCTCCAGCATTATAACTTGGTAGTTTTGCCGCCCAGTTCGACCAGAGCTTCCTCATTCTTTGAAACAAGTGTATAGCACAGGATATGCCACAGTTTATTGAACCCTTTCCTTATCCATGAACACTTGCGTTGTTTCCAGTCTTTGATGTTTATTACAAACAATTCTGCAGTAAATAATCTGGCATGAATATTGGCAAGAATGGCCTTCAGATCAATTCTCAGAAGTTTCTCAGACTGTAATAAACTTTAATAAAAAAATTCTGAAGGAACATTCTAAAATGGTATGACTGGACTGCCAAATTAGAACCTCAGCTTTCCAAGGAAAACTTTGACGTTCCATTGAGAGTGCTTCCTCATTCTTGGCCTGTAAATGTCATGTTCGTATTTTTTCTAATAAGGAAAATTTAAAATATTTCAACTGCCTTTCCTGCAGCAAACAATAGTTAGAATGATGCTTTCAAAAAAGAAGAAGAATCTGAAGAGAATACGATGTTCTGAAGTGACTGAATTGTAAGCTCTAGAGCATCTACTTTTTTTTTAATTCATCATGCACTGCATTTCTGAAATGCAGTGTCAGATAGGGATGCTGGCTTTGGAACTGAAGACTTGTGAAATGGATCCTGATCCAAACAGTGTTAGTGCCTCCCTCGCCCGGGGTCAAATAACCTTTGGCGGTTTTTATTGACAATGCTTCTTATTTCCTCATAGCTGAGACTCTCTTCTCCCGAGAAAATGTCTACTTAAACATTCTCTTCACCTTTGGCTAGTACATGGCCCCCACCACCTGCCAAGACTTGGGTGCTAGCCTCAGGATATATTCAGAATCCCTTCTTAAGTGAAAATGATATTGGATGAAAGTCTTTGTCTTCCTGGTGTCTGAATGTCTGTAGAGAACACCACTCTACTGACTACTCTTTTTTATTTGGGGGGACTAAGGTACTTTATTCTCAGCCTT